CAGAGCATCATTTACTACTGGGAAAGGGTTTAGTGCTTGCCAAAACTAAAGCAGGCACTGTTGCTATGATGTTTTGTCTTTTTACTCTACTTCAGAGTTTCTGTTCAAAAACTCTGTTCAATAAATTGTTAATTTGGTATACTTCTTTCAGCATCTAATTCAAACTATATTTTACATTAAAACAGAAATAACTAATGCTCGACAAGATAGCATAACTTGTTGTCAATTTAGTGTTCTGGGATAGAAGGTGAATGCTGTATCTCCAAGACACACAGTGGGATCCCTCTTACAGTACCTTGCAAATTTCATGTAATGATCAAAGTAATTTACTTTCAGGGCAGAAAAAATAAATTTCTACGACTCAGTTCACACAGTACCCATATGAGATAATTAGGCCACAGGAGACCCTTTTTGTTCATCATAACACTTTATAGTCCAGAAGGGTCTGTAGCTCTAATTTCTACAAATCTTGCTAGTTGTTATCAAAATTGTATGACTACTACAGTCTTCAAAATGTGGAGTCCATTTTGATATGTTTACATTTATCCTAATACTGGGCCATATGGGCCTGGCACATACCAAATAAATGTAAATCCAAATTAGAATGCATGTAATGGGGTGGTAGGTTTTCTTAAAGAAGGATACACCTTTTTTTGCATTTTTTGTTTCCTAATGATACCGGAATACATTTTGCAATGTACTTCTGTAATCATGTAATCAAAAATGCACCATAAACTTACAATTCAGTGTAAAATACTGTGGGAGGGGCTAAGCTCTATGCTTAGAAGAGATCCCGAAAAAAACTGTCTGGATCCTCCTCTGCCATTGAGTGACAGCAGCTTGTAGGAGCTGTAGTGTGTTCATGAGAATCTGTAGATCGAAGCAGCTCAGGGCACATCCTATCAGAGTTAACTCTGGATGTGCACGTGTTCATAGACCTGTGACCTGACATGAATAAACTCTGATAGGATGTGCCCTGAGCATCTGCACAGGTTCTCATGAACGTGCAGCAGAAGAAAAAACAATTTCTTAGTAAAGGATGAACTCTGACTACTACTATATCTGTGTGGGGCTACCTGCATCTCTTGAATGTGCCCTACTTAAAGCTAAACTCTAGGCCAGTATAAAAGACTATCAGTTAATTGAGTTATGTATTCCTCAAAAACTACTTAACTGAATTAATTATAAAAAGGTATATGTACCTGAGCTTGTCTTTATATTAATAAATCTGCACATGCAGGACTGAGAAAGGGGGGGGGGGGGGGGAGCGTGGGG